CACTAATATATCCAATCTAACAGGAACAGAGAGACACAAAATTGACGATAATACTGTACGCAGCGAATTTCACAGATCATAGATATGTCAAGGTATTCTAATCTACATAAAATTATAACTGTGACTGGATACGTCTTGAAATACGTAAATAATTGTCAGAAAAACAGATCGACTTAGAAGTTCACAAGGTGACAGGAAGCTCAATAGAATTTTAACAAAATAGGAAATTTCATTAGCTATGAACTTATGGATCAAAGATACACAACAAGGCAGGTTCGTGAAAGAGCTAGAACATATTTCATTGATTCCGAAAATTAAATCACTACCGCTTGTGCAACAATAACGTTTATATCTGGATGAAAGTGGAATCATACGATTTAAAAGCAGAATACAAAATTCATCTCTTTAAGAAAACGCTAAGTTTCCTATTTAATACCCAAGAACTACAAACTTACAGATTTTGTTATGAGGGACGCACCTCTAAGAAATCTACATGCAGGAGTCGGACAGACATTCATACTGGATACCAGCAATTCGACAATGTGTGAACAGTGTCTTACGTAAATGTGTACAATGCCAAAAATCATTGGTTAACCATATAACAAACCACAACCTCCATCGCTACCAAATGATCGAGTAAAAGACAGCATACCACCAGACATGCCTCAAATGAAAGGTAATAACTTGGGAAAAGCTCCACTGACATGTTCTTGGGGAGTTAAACCCATTCAGGAATTGTTAGGGTTCAAAGTTGCTGTTAAGAAAAAAAAAGAACGTGCCCATCCTTCATTCTTTCGGTAAGCCTCGCCAGCTTCGTACGGCATGTTTGCTACCGGACATGGCTCAAATGAAAGGTAATAACTAAGGGAAGGCCCCACTGGAAGTTTTTTTTGGGAGTTAGGCCCATTCGGTATTTGTAGATTTTCAAAGTTGTTGTTATAGAAAAAAATACGTCTCCACCTTACACTCTTTCGGTAAGCCTCGCCAGCTTCGTACGGCAAAGTTCGCTACAGGACATGGCTCAAATGAAAGGTAATAACTTAGGAAAGGCCCCACTGGAAGGTTTTTTGGGGAGTTAGGCCCATTCGGTATTTGTAGATTTTCAAAGTTGTTGTTAGAGAAAAAAATACGTCTCCACCTTACACTCTTTCGGTAAGCCTCGCCAGCTTCGTACGGCAAAGTTCGCTACAGGACATGGCTCAAATAAAAGGTAATAACTTAGGAAAGGGCCCACTGGAAGGTTTTTTTGGGAGTTAGGCCCATTCGGTATTTGTAGATTTTCAAAGTTGTTGTTATAGAAAATAATACGTCTCCACCTTACACTCTTTCGGTAAGCCTCGCCAGCTTCGTACGGCAAAGTTCGCTACCGGACATGGCTCAAATGAAAGGTAATAACTTAGGAAAGGCCCCACTGGAAGGTTTTTTTGGGAGTTAGGCCCATTCGGTATTTGTAGATTTTCAAAGTTGTTGTTATAGAAAAAAATACGTCTCCACCTTACACTCTTTCAGTAAGCCTCGCCAGCTTCGTACGGCAAAGTTCGCTACAGGACATGGCTCAAATGAAAGGTAATAACTTAGGAAAGGGCCCACTGGAAGGTTTTTTTGGGAGTTAGGCCCATTCGGTATTTGTAGATTTTCAAAGTTGTTGTTATAGAAAAAAATACGTCTCCACCTTACACTCTTTCGGTAAGCCTCGCCAGCTTCGTACGGCAAAGTTCGCTACCGGACATGGCTCAAATGAAAGGTAATAACTTAGGGAAGGCCCCACTGGAAGGTTTTTTTGGGAGTTAGGCCCATTCGGTATTTGTAGATTTTCAAAGTTGTTTTATAGAAAAAAAATACGTCTCCACCTTACACTCTTTCGGTAAGCCTCGCCAGCTTCGTACGGCAAAGTTCGCTACAGGACATGGCTCGAATGAAAGGTAATAACTTAAGAAAGGCCCCACTGGAAGGTTTTTTTGGGAGTTAGGCCCATTCGGTATTTGTAGATTTTCAAAGTTGTTGTTATAGAAAAAAATACGTCTCCACCTTACACTCTTTCGGTATTCCTCGCCAGCTTCGTACGGCAAAGTTCGCTACCGGACATGGCTCAAATGAAAGATAATAACTTAGGGAAGGCCCAACTGGAAGATTTTTTTATTGGGAGTTAGGCCCATTCGGTATTTGTAGATTTTCAAAGTTGTTTTATAGAAAAAAATACGTCTCCACCTTACACTCTTTCGGTAAGCCTCGCCAGCTTCGTACGGCAAAGTTCGCTACCGAACATGGCTCAAATGAAAGGTAATAACTTAGGGAAGGCCCCACTGGAAGGTTTTTTTGGGAGTTAGGGCCATTCGGTATTTGTAGATTTTCAAAGTTGTTGTTATAGAAAAAAATACGTCTCCACCTTACACTCTTTCGGTAAGCCTCGCCAGCTTCGTACGGCAAAGTTCGCTACCGGACATGGCTCAAATGAAAGGTAATAACTTAGGGAAGGCCCCACTGGAAGGTTTTTTTGGGAGTTAGGCCCATTCGGTATTTGTAGATTTTCAAAGTTGTTTTATAGAAAAAAATACGTCTCCACCTTACACTCTTTCGGTAAGCCTCGCCAGCTTCGTACGGCAAAGTTCGCTACAGGACATGGCTCAAATGAAAGGTAATAACTTAGGAAAGGCCCCACTGGAAGGTTTTTTTGGGAGTTAGGCCCATTCGGTATTTGTAGATTTTCAAAGTTGTTGTTATAGAAAAAAATACGTCTCCACCTTACACTCTTTCAGTAAGCCTCGCCAGCTTCGTACGGCAAAGTTCGCTACAGGACATGGCTCAAATGAAAGGTAATAACTTAGGAAAGGGCCCACTGGAAGGTTTTTTTGGGAGTTAGGCCCATTCGGTATTTGTAGATTTTCAAAGTTGTTTTATAGAAAAAAATACGTCTCCACCTTACACTCTTTCGGTAAGCCTCGCCAGCTTCGTATGGCAAAGTTCGCTACCGGACATGGCTCAAATGAAAGGTAATAACTTAGGGAAGGCCCCACTGGAAGTTTTTTTTTGGGAGTTAGGCCCATTCGGTATTTGTAGATTTTCAAAGTTGTTGTTATAGAAAAAAATACGTCTCCACCTTACACTCTTTCGGTAAGCCTCGCCAGCTTCGTATGGCAAAGTTCGCTACCGGACATGGCTCAAATGAAAGGTAATAACTTAGGGAAGGCCCCACTGGAAGTTTTTTTTTGGGAGTTAGGCCCATTCGGTATTTGTAGATTTTCAAAGTTGTTGTTATAGAAAAAAATACGTCTCCACCTTACACTCTTTCGGTAAGCCTCGCCAGCTTCGTACGGCAAAGTTCGCTACAGGACATGGCTCAAATGAAAGGTAATAACTTAGGGAAGGCCCCACTGGAAGGTTTTTTTGGGAGTTACTAGTAGGCCCATTCGGTATTTGTAGATTTTCAAAGTTGTTTTATAGAAAAAAATACGTCTCCACCTTACACTCTTTCGGTAAGCCTCGCCAGCTTCGTACGGCAAAGTTCGCTACAGGACATGGCTCAAATGAAAGGTAATAACTTAGGAAAGGCCCCACTGGAAGGTTTTTTTGGGAGTTAGGCCCATTCGGTATTTGTAGATTTTCAAAGTTGTTGTTATAGAAAAAAATACGTCTCCACCTTACACTCTTTCGGTAAGCCTCGCCAGCTTCGTACGGCAAAGTTTGCTACTGGACATGGCTCAAATGAAAGGTAATAACTTAGGGAAGGCCCCACTGGAAGGTTTTTTTGGGAGTTAGGCCCATTCGGTATTTGTAGATTTTCAAAGTTGTTGTTATAGAAAAAAATACGTCTTGCCACCACAGGGGTTCAAAGTTGTCCCTATACGTACTTTTCGTATTAACTACACATGCTTTCGGTACTCCTCGACAACTCCCTACGGCAAAGTTCCGAACCAGACCTAGCTCATTTTAAAGGTGTTGACCTAGGTTATTCCCCGCTCAAATATTTGTCTGGGATCCGGGCCCGTTTAACCACAGTTTTAGTTATATGTCAATTATTTGTACTGCCACATTTGACAAGGAAAGTTTCAGTTTTAATTCAATGAGTTGGTATTTATGCATGCCGTACAAAATAGTCCACGCAGGAGTTTTGTGAAAATACTTGTTCACATTAAAATATAGATAACCATTACAAGTATATCAAAATGTTTTCATTTCATATGTACAAAAAAAAATATTAAAAATGATTTCAGCGAAAATACTTGATATTTGAGGATGCCGAGTTTATGGAAAGCATGTATGTAACTTTTCTATCGTGCATTGCATCTTGTTTATTCATTCCAAATTGGTTTGAATTATATATATGATACGATTCCTTACGACTGCCAACAAAAAAGTGACTGTTATCATTATTGGTATTTAGAACGGACTGAAATCCTTTGAGAATGACTACAAGCCGTGAAATTGTCAAATTCCGCTGTTGAATTACATTTAACTAAGATTTTGAGATATTTGGAACGTTTGAGTCTTATACAGTTTTTTGGTTTTTAGACATATCATCAAAATTGGCTGCTGGAAAAAAGTGGCTGTTATCTTGATTGGCTGCTAAAAGTGGCTGCCAGCTTGAGTCTAGTACTATTTAATACTAGTATGGGAAATTTAGATGCAGTTGTAAACCTTTATATCACAATTTTAACACAATATTAAATAGAACATTCAATTATTTACAGTGAGAAAATCAGCGCCTCTAAGACATGTTTTGTCTAAGAGCATAAATATATTATAATTATGTCTTTTAACAATGTATGTTACTTTGAGAACAGCACTTTTTGTTTTAAATTAACGCCATTCAACTACTTTATTTGAACCGTGTGTTGTTTTTATAAAGGAACGTAACACCACTACTAACCGTGTATTAAAATAAAATACGACCACTGACCAAATATTAAATATACACGGTCTCCACGTGTTCGCTTATAACCAATGATATTCCTAGAGGTGTATAGAAGGTAAGATAAATAAAGAATCTCGAATATACGTACTGTATTCACAGGTGTAAGTAACAGTCCAACAGGGAACCCATACGACTCAAGATTTGCCTTCCCAAATAGTATTGCTCCGATGACGGACGTAGGATTTGTGTGACTAACAGAGTGTGTGCCGACCGATATTTTGATAAATCCAGCAACTAAATTTGTTCCTGGAATAGATACATAATGCTGATTTTGTGGAAGCGGTTGATTATCCAACCGTAGCCCAGCTTTCTGAGTTGAATCAACAATAAACATGAAATAATTAGTGTAGTCTCCTTTAGAGTATTTAGGCGTGGTGAACGTGTAATCTGCAGCATATTGTTCAATTGGTGGAACTATGATCATGGCTGGATCTGCAAGGTCACCACTTCCTTGTGTCTTAGAAAACTGGAAAAGAGATATAGGTTTATCAGATACGATATGTGAATAGAGAGCAGAGTCATACTGTTTTTGTACATACTGGCCAGCTTTGGGAATAGTAAGAGTATCAAGAAACGGTTTGCCGTTGATAACGCCAGTAATATTTACATGTGTATTGTCTTCACTTGATAAAAACCGGAATATATCTCCAACATTTCTTTCAGGGATAGGCACGGTTGCATAGTTCTTGCCCCACGAAGATATTGGTAATAACATTTCAACTAGATGATCACGCGAGTTTCCAGTTGAACCAACCACTGCTTTTTTGTTTCCACTCAGAACTCCTACTGGTTTATTTGATACAACATAAGATCCAGTTAGATCTGGAATAGCATGAATTTCAAGTGTACTGAACCTGTCCAATGTTACATTAATCCACTGATTCTTCTTGTATGTGTGACCTTTTAAAGTTATATTAAGGTTCGGTGTGTTTGGTAGTCGAATGGAGACATGTGTATTATCCTGAATACCAATAACAGCAAATAAGCAGTAGTAGTAAGATGGGGAATACGAAAGTGTATAATATTCTTTACCTAAGACATCCGTAGGCAAAGCGAGATAAGCATCATCTGAATATACCTCTCGGTTGACCCCATAGACAACAATCTCATCATCAGCTTGGATCAATATAGCTTTCCTGGCCAATTCTGTTTGGACCAGACGATAACTTGTGTCAAAAGCAGCATGATGTACTTGACCACGGGTAACAGTGAATGTTTGGTGAAGCTGAGAATTCGGAGCCCCGGTAATCGTTACATGAACTAGTTTATTTTTAGCCGTAGTAACAAATATCTCTGGTTGAATGTCTTTGTTTTCTAGAATCTTGTTGTCCATAAATGCAACCATAAACTCAGTTCCTCTGTTATCCAATGCACCTGTGATATAATAAAGGAAACACGTTTAAGTATATTTCAAATTTAGACTTTGTTAATGACTATTTTCACGGTCAACTGATTCACGAAATATATTCGTGTGTAGGACAATTTCTCACAGCTAGGGTTCTACTTCGTCAAAATTATGTCCCCATTACGCCATCTATTTTTTTCAATATCGTGGAAATGGAAGCCAATGTAGGGATGATGAGCTGTCAATTTAGCTCTTGAAAACCCATAAATCTATCCTTATAGCATCATAACGTTCCTTACATGACAGTTGTAATTTAAAAGACAAATTAATGTACTAGTATCTACTAGCTGTTAAGCATCATTTAATGTATTTTTAGGCCTTTTGCCAACTTAAAACTATTGTCTATTCGGTTGTCAGGGGAAATTTTTGAAAGTTATAAAAAAACACTAAAAATACAAAAAAAGTTATATAAAAAAATAGATCCACTAGTAAAGTTTGTTGTCAAGGGCTTTCAGTAAATACGTTTTAGTACATTTCATGAATAAAATAATTGATATGCATAGATTTTAATTGAAAAATGAGTGAACGAAAATTTATTAGAATACAAGTAAAAAATACACCTCAAATTTCAACATTTGAGGTAGCACGAAGCTTTTTTTGTCTGTTATTCAAACACACCGACTCTGTTGTTGCTCATTAGAAAGGTATTTCACTTGACCCATATACTTCATTTCTAGATACTGTGAATTTTTAATGTTATTATATCAACATGTAGCCTAAATATGTAAAAATGATAAAATCTGAAGCGAAATGATGTATCACATATTTTTGCTTTAAACGTTTTCAAGACAAAACAGTCAACTCAGACACGCCTGAACATAAAAAGGTTTACCAGACTATCTCTTTTCTAGAAAATATCATTGACCATATTTAGAATCCCCCTCACCCCCTCCCCCCAAAAAAAACTGTTTCCAGGGGGCAGAGATGCAAGTTAATGCGTTTTAAAAGATCATTCTTTTTTATTTTCTGTGGAATTTTTTCGTCAAAATTTATGCTTATGCACATAAAAGATCCACACGTATTTGCACTTCCGAAATCGAATGCTTTATGAAAATATTTTTCAAAAATTTCTCTTAGCCATCAACTGATTTTCAGTTTCTTTTAAATATGAAAATAAGAAGATGTGGTATCATTGCCAATGAAACAACCCCCACCAGAGACCAAATGACATAGAAGATAACAACTATAGGTCACCATACGGTCTTCAACAATGAGCAAAACCCATATGGCATAGTAAATTATAAAAGGCCCCAAAATGACAAATGTAAAACAATTCAAACGAGAAAACCAACGGCCTGGTTAATGCACAAATCAATGAACGAAAAACAAATATGATATACAACAACAAACGACAACCACTGAATTATAGGCTCCTTATGTCATTTTAGCTGACGTGAGCTTTTCTCATCACTTTGCGTCCGTCGTCGTCGTCGTCCGTCATTGTCTGTTAACTTTTACAAAAATCTTCTCCTCTGAAACTACTGGGCCAAATTTAACCAAACTTGGCCACATTCATCATTAGGGTATCTACTTTAAAAAAATGTGTCCGATGTCCCCGCCTGCCAACCAAGATAGCCGACATGGCTAAAAATAGAACATAGGGGTAAAATGCAAGTTTTGTCTATTATTTTGAAAACCGTTATAAATAGAGAAAATCTGACACGAGCAAAAATGTTCAGAATGTTGAGCTCTGCCAATTGTCGATATACGTCAAAACTGTTACGACTTCTTATAGGAGTTATTGACTTAAATTACAAATATTACCATTTTTTTTTCATTTTTGCCTATTATCTTGAAAATTATAATAGATAGAGAGAAAACAATGATCAGCAAGACAAGTTCTACAAATAACAGTGGCGTAGCTAGACTTATAATGATCTGCACGCAGAAGTTGCCGAGCGAGCGACGACGAAAAAAATTTTGGACCCTTTTTTACAGAAAATGAATCTTTTTTCGATCTAAGATGGTTAATTTTGAAGTGAAGTATGCACAGTTGAGTGTTTTGCTATACTAGTATATCAAATCAAAGACCTAAAACTGACCTAAAAAATTCTAAAAACTTTGCAATGCTCGCCAATTTATTATGCTTCAAAGAAAAAAAGGGCGAGAGAACTGGATCCTCTCATGACATATATGTTAACATACGAAAACAAAGCAATTCAAACAATCAATTTTTAATTTGGTGATATATGAATGTGACGTTCGTATGTAAGACCGTATGTAAGACTGAAGTTAACAACCGAGGTCCTTTAGGAGAGTAACATTTTCATTTGCCTAGCATTGTTAAACGTGTCAATAACTTCTTTAGTGTCAATGTCAAAATCAGAATGAACGTGCAGCAGTGCAAGTGAAGAAAGTCTTTCTTGTCCCATGGTCGATCTCAGATACGTTTTTACGCGTTTCAGAGCGCTGAAAGAGCGTTCAGCAGTAGAGGTTGAGGGTGGCATGGTGAGAAGTATTTGCAGAATACAGAATATATTTGGGCAATGTTCTTTCGGCGTCATCTTCAATGTTGCACAGAGATGGTCTGGTTTCTTATATGGATAAATATTCCATCGCGCAACCCACCTTTTAATTTTGAGAAGAAACTGATCTTCTGATTGAAGATCGGACTCGTAGGCGCGAAATATGCGAATTTAATGGTCCCGATTCAAACTTTTCAGATTGTTTGGAAGAAGCATATGGGCAAGAAAACGTTCTTCTGAATTGACAAGACGATCTCGTAGTTCGTTTTAAATTAGTAGATGGTCTAAAAATTGTATATACCGATGTACGCACAACAAAACTGAACTGATAGAAAACACGGAAACCTTTCTGACAAGTTGAAACACCTATATATACAAAGTGACAGTCAATCGCACTCTTTCTTTTTTTGACTGCTATGATTTTTTAATTATGATTTTTTTTGGGGCCATTTCGTTTGTGCACGCAAGTGCGTCGTTGCGTCAATGGTAGCTACGCCACTGAATTATAAGTACAAAGGTCGAAATCGTCAGTCGACTCCTTATTAGAGTTATTGCCCTTTGATAACGATTTTTACAATTTTCGGCGTTTTTGCCTCGATCTTAAAAATTATAATAGATAGATAGAAACTTAAATAAGCAAAAATGATCAGCAAGACAATATCTACAATTAAGACAAATGGAGGAAATCGTTCGACGACTCCTAATTGGAGTCATTGCCCTTAAATGACGATTTTTACCATTTTGTTTTGCGTTTTGTCTGATATGATAAAAATTATAATAGTAAAATAGACACTTTAAATCAAAAAAATGACCAGCAAGGCAAGATCTACTAACAGGTCAAATTTTGACGATATAGTTAGTAGACTGTCACTCTTTATAGGAGTGATTGCCCTTAAATGAGGATTTTTGTTTACCCTCTTTTGTGTTTTGAATATAAACTAAAGAAGATAGAAACTAAACAGACTAAATGGGCTGTTTTCTGCTCTTTGGGTCCGTGTAACACTTATTAATTCAAAATTTTAAAAAGTTTTCAAATTTTAGATTTTTGGAATTTTGATCAAAGTTTTAAAATATCAAAATTTCAAAATTCCGAAAAGAGGGGTTCCTGTAAAGTGCGAAACGGAATAAAAGCGGAACGAAACGAAACAAAACGAAAAGAAACGAAACAAAATGAAATGAACAGTTATACGGTTACTTAAAAGTTAATGTATAAAATAAAACCAGCGGCAGACAGTTGTAAGCTGTGAAAAATTGGATAACAAAATAAATATTTCTCAAAAGCGGAGAATTCATTTTAAAACAAGAAACACGGATCTGATAATGATCATTCTTAGTTATTAATAAAAAGCACGAAATATATCAAATCATTTTTAATTGCAAAAAAAAATAGTTTAAAGAAGAAGTCGGGTTTTTTTTAAACAAATTTGGACATCACATGAGATAACAGTATCCTGAAATTTTTTTAGGTGTTGCATCTATTGAAAAAAATGATGTTAAACCTATTTAAACCTGCATCAAACAAAAAAAAAATCTCTAACATGAGCTTAGCGTTTCAGATAAATAATTCAGAACTATTTGGTTTCCCCAGCGCCCATCATTTAGGAGTAACAGTGAAAACTGACCAACTCGCAGTAGGCCAAATAGTATGATAGGGTAAATTATGTTAATTTTTTCTGCCGTACTTTAAGCAATAAATGGCTCAAAACACGTGTATTCCCTCAAATTTGATTTGATTTCTTTTTTGTTTTGCTCTACGACTTCTTATACTATCTGCAATCATGTCGGCAGATGAAATCATTAAATGTACATTTTGAACGATCATCTCAATTAACATTTTATCAACTATTTCGGTTGTTATAAATTGTTGGCCTTCAAATATTCGGCTTTTGAGCGTTCCTGATGAAGGTAGATCCAGAAAAGCGCTTCGGACGCATGCAATTTGTTAACGTTCTGTTTTCATTTTTTATCGATTGCATGACGATCATATATTGCCTTGTATCATTGATTTCAATTCTAAGTATTGGTACGGTAGGAATATTGAATTCATGGTGTCGCAATGAACGTTGTGCTAGCCTCGAAGGTGGGAGGTTATTGATATCTTTTTTACATTGCTACCCGCTATACACGCTGAATATAAGAGTAAGATCAAATATTAGTAGCTTAGAGCCAGGATTATGTTATAAGATATCTAAATAAACTCAATATAGATACCAGGATGGAAATTTTGTATTTGCGCTAGACGCGCGTTTCGTCTACAAAAGACTCATCAGTGACGCTCGAATCAAATAAAGTTAAAAAGGCCAAATAAAGTAAACGTTAACATCCAACTCATCGTTCTGGTTTTGTAAAAGCTGAATACATTAATACCATATAAACGTATACCATAAACATTATTTTCATCTACGGTACCTATTTGTAGGTGTCGGCATTTTGAAATCGTGATTTGAAATAAATGTTTAAAAGTTCATATCAACGATAAATGGTAATCTATTTGGGAATCGGAAATATAAATATTGTCACTAAGGTGACACTGAATTTGACTTGGATACTTCCACGGGGGGTTTCAAATAGTGGTACATTTTTTCAGGTGCGGATCAATGAATTTGAAAAGGTTGGGGGCCTTGTCAGGGAACGACCATTCAACTTCAAAGGGGGTGGGGGTATGGTTTTTTCCTAAAAAAATATTCTGATTCCCAATTTGATGAAGAAAAAAATTCTGTTCAAGCAGAGGACAAAAAAAATTATCTTATCCAGATTTCCCCCATACCTAAAAGTGTTAAATTTTGAACAAAATAATTTGATTGATAGCGTTAAAAATCAAATTAAATTTAACTCCGACAAAAAACCATACCCACCTTTGAAGTTAAATGATTTCTCCCTTAGACAACGTTTTGACTGATGCTTGTAAAAAGCATATGCATTTATCATATATGTAGCTCCATTAGGAGTCCTAAATCCGCCCTTTTTTTAAAAAGCGAATAAAAGGAAACGGGATTTTTTGTATTAAGGGATAGTTCCGTATTTGTAATTTGTGCATTTTTAAGTTATCGCACGACAAACAACTTTGGGCAAAGTACAAGTACGTAGCGAAGTCTAGTCAAAATGAGTCGTGTAGAAAGAGTGCCAAGCTCTCTTCACGTTAAGAACCCCTGCATTAACTCGTTGGTTTGTT